TATTATTGTAGAGATGAGGTCTCGCTCCCCAGGCGGGTCTCGAACCCGCGGGCTCAGACAATCCACTCACCTCAGCCTCCCAAAGGCGCGAGATTACAGGCTGAGCCACCGAGCCCGGCTTGGCCCCCTATTTTAAAAGTTTGAGGACCCCTGTCCTAGGCATTCCCAGTGGGTAGCTTCAGGGGATCCCTGACTTCCCTGTAGATAGGGCCTGTTCTATTGGAAGATTGAATCCCATCTGATCCCCCTCTGAGTGGTCATAACTTTTGTAATTATAAGTTTTGTGACTTCTACAATTCTTGCCCAATGCATGATGTTTAAGGCCTTGTAAATTCCCTTTACACTAGGCAAGTTTGATTGCCACTATGGGATACCTCTGATACCTAGAACCAGGAAGTCTGTTTCTGAAAAGACAAAGTTGGCAAAGTTAATTTTACCTAAAGCATGCATTTTTCCAAAACATAGCTTCGACTCTCTCATCATTGTATTAAGGTTTAGGAACAAGATTTTAAAAATGCATTTCCTGTTCTTAATCTGTCCTTTCAATGAGGTCTTGTTCTGTTGCCCAGGCTGGTCTTGAACTGCTGGACTCAAGCAATCCTCTTGCCTGAGCCTCCCAAAGTGCTAGGATTATAGGCATGAGCCACTGCACCCGGCCAATCTTGATGATTTAATGCTAGTACTTACCCCTCCTCCCAGATCCATCTGCAAGCCTGCCCGTCCCTAAACAAGTCCCAACACCTCCAACCCTCTCCACCTCATTCCCCACTCCTGGACCTCGGGAGCAGTCTCCCAACGGCTCTCCTGGGCCCAGTGTTCCCCTTGACCCCGGACCATCACAGAAGCCCCATACCACTCTTCTGCCTAAGCCTCCCACTGCTCTGTGAGTCACCCCCAGACACCTGGCCTCTGTCTCACCCCACACATCCCCAGCCATGCTCCTCCCTTTCTGTCTCAGGCTGGCAGCATTTGTCCTCTCGCCATTCCACCAAGCTTTCCTGCTTCAGGAGCACTGCACTTTGTGTGCCTTCTCTCTGGAACGAGCCTGCTTCTCACCCTTCAGGGCCTAGCTTAAACGCCCTCCCCTGGCCACCACATTCAACGCTGCCTCTCCATCACTGTGTCCTCTACAGCACTGGTCACAAACCTGTTCCTTTGTTTACTGGTTGCTGTTAGTCACATACAAGTGTGAACTCCACCACGGCAGAGATCCTGTGTGTCTGGGTTCCCACTTCTCATAACTGAACTTCTCATACCTGACACATTCAATCAGCCTCTCAGCCTCCTTTTCTCTCCTGGGCGTTAGTACTTGTATGCTGTTGGTGTGTTGTGTGATCTTTGGGGACACCTTTGTCCCTCTCTCAGCCTGTGATTCTGTACATAGAATAGCACTCATTTCTGCCTTTCTGGAAGGATAGGCCAGCATCTAAGTGTTTTGGAAGGAATCTGATGAGCAATGACTCTGGTGTCATCTCTTCCCCTTTAAGTAGTGGGAGGTGAGGGGCCTTCTGTGCGGGTCACTGCTGAGTGTCATCTGGCATTGTGGCACCCAGTCTCTGTTTGTTACGAGAATGAGTAAGTCTGATGCAAGGGGCATAAGAATCTAGGGGGCAGGTGTGCCCTCCCACACCATGGTCTGGTGACCCAGAAACAACCCAGACGCGTGTTTTTACCTTTTTAATATATATTTTTATAAACAGGTCACGTGATAAAATAGCACAAGAAACACTTACCAAATATAAGGTTATATCTTCCGCATATACAGGAGAATGAGGTCGTTATGTACAATAAGAAAATGATTTTAGGGGGTGGTTGGTTTTGTTTTCCTCTCTCCCCTTAATTTTTCCTCCTACAGTCGTTGGAAATATCACAGCTTCAGTTGCATTAATACTTTGGGCAAATGAACAGCTGCCTCCTCCCCACCAGGGGCTGTGGGAAGGAGGGGCTGGAGAAACTACCTCCTGACCACTCCAGCCCTGGGGCCTCCTGGCCGGCACTCCAGGGGCAGGGACATCTTTGGGCTGTTGAACTGCTTCTCCGTTTCAACAGCATCTCTCTGTGCACTCCCTCGCTCGCGCTCTTTCTCTCACTCTCTGGCTCTCTGGAAACTGGTTACTCTCTTCCAACCAGGTAGGGGGTGTCCCAAGATTGGGTGTGGGTGCTATATCTCCTGGGGCTCAACATTGGGATGGAAAGGGGACCCAGCCCCCTCCTCAGCAGTTGCCAAGATGTGCCAGCATCCCCCAGGGCTTCCAAATGTCTTGAGACCAGGCAGAACACAGTTAGAACCCATTTGGGCAGGCAGAGGTTTGGGGAGCTGGGGAGGAGTGAGGTGGGGGAGCTGGAAAGGAGCCCTCCCTCCTCGGGATTGGAGTCACGAGGGGGTACCCTGACCCTTGCCTGGGCCCACATCTGCTGATTCCACCTGAGGAGACCTCCCAGGGCAAGGGGTGCTGCTGAGGCCTGAACGGAGCCCAGCGAGGTGCAGAGGCTGAGGTGTGGGGTCGCCCCCCCCCCCGCTCCTCCCAAGGCCTGACAGCTGGAGGGTGCCTCCGGCTTGGGTCTCTCAAGGTGCCTGGATCACCCCGGGTGAGAGGACGGGAGCCTGCTGTGCCAACGTGGTTGACTTCCAGTGATCACCAGCCAGCCAACCCCGCCTGCCACCTGGTTCGGCCACAGCCGGGCCAGAACCGGGGACCAGGACCGGGAAGGGCCGGTGATGACCCCACACAGCGTCAGGGAAGGGGGAGGCCGCTAGGTCAGGCTGGTGGCAGGTGGGGGGGCAGGGGACGAGGGAGAGACTTGGGCTCCTCGGGGGCCATGGCTTTGGCGGTGGTCTGATTCCCCTCGCACCCTTCAGGGGGTTCCAGACGTGGTGCAGGGGAAGATGCGGAAGCCCTTGGGGCTCTTCCGGGCCCCTGTGTTCTGGGGGAGTCAGCCCCCTCGGTCCCCCTGGGCCCTGCCCGGGATTGGGGGACAATGGGGAGACAGAGAGCGGGGTTGGCGGGGAAGGCGGGGAAGGCGGTAAAGGCGGCTGTCTGGAGAGCTCAAAGCGCCCCCCAAGACCCGAGCCCTGCCCCAAGCAGGCGGGCGAGTGATGGCGGCGGCTGTGGCGTGGCGGAGGGCGGCGTG